CTGTGGGTTTTGCACCCATCGGTCTTCAGCAGTAACTTGTCTCTATGATCTCAAACATTCCGGCTAATGGTAACTCGTCTACCTTGGAATCGAATGATATGCAGGAAATGCTCACCACACGATCTGTGATCCTAAATTACCTTCTGATGGAATCACAAAACGCCAGCGTGCATTCAAGGAGGAAAGTTGTGTCCGTTGTGAGATTCAAACTCATATTGGTCAGTGCTTAGCCATAGATATGACCATTAAGCGATTAAAACCTTGATCAATCTCCTGTAGGGCTGCATTAAGCACATCATTGGTTGATTATATTTTCTAGTCCTGATCAAACTTTATCAATCACTTTGTGTAATATGATCGATAAGGCAGGAAACTCAGCACCACCACAATCGACTTGAATTGATATGTGTTGGCGTGATTCAATACCGGGGGGGGGGGGAGGACTACAATCTCAAGTGTACTGCTGTCCCCTGATAGGTTCAAATGCGCGTCACCTACCGATTACCTCCAGCTACCTAGCAACAACTCAAGTATTTCTCCCCCATCTCCAGTAATCGAAACTAAATAACTTATGCAGATAAACACACTCACATTTTTGGTGATTTTTATGCAAGGAGATACGTTACGATAACACGAAAATACTTCCCTTCCTTACACATGCAATATAACTTGAATCAAAGATACTGCTCAAGATAACATTAAGCTTACCTTCAGTAGTAGTCACAGAAGTAAGCATAGTCTGAATAGACATTTCAGACGAACGGGGTGGTGAAATAATGAATCAATTTAGACCAGGGGGAGACAGCGAATCAGTCACAATTAATCTGATAAGGAGTAAAAACACACAAAACCATTCTGATTGTATTGCACTTCTGTCAAATGGAGAGATAACTTCATTGTCTACTGACATAATCGTGTAGTTGTGTGTGAATGTGAATGTACTGAATGAATTCTGCTGTAAAGTCGATTCTCATTCGGTAAACATTTCACAGTCAGACTAAACATTATCACCACTTGTATATTAATGATGGATAGTGGTAACAGTGAAATCCAGGATGAATGTTTCGTCCTATTTGGGACTCATCAATTTAATGTACCTGCCTCCTAGGGAGCGATGTTGTTCTCACTAATACTAGGACTGCGGGCCGATCGCTCCAAACACCAGAGTATTATCCGCTAGACCACCGAATGACGATAGTCACGGGTATAGTTTTAATCCTGTTGCTTGTATTATCCCGTCGTTGAGCGAACTGAACTTACCGGGCTCTTGCTCGGATGCCTCCATATTGCCTGCTGTTTCTATTCTGATATTAATGATGGATAGTGACTAACAGTGGAATCCTCGACGGGTGTTTCATTTTATTTGTGAGTTACTCATCACTTGGATGTACCTAAATTCCCGTGAGTCAAGGTGTGAGGATTGGTTGGTTGGTTTCAAGCTAGTATTCATCATGCACTGGCCTGTTTCATCCTACTAGTTAGTTTGGGGCTCCTTCTCCAGCAGTACACACCCATGACCTTGCCAGGGATCGAACTGACAATCTTCAGATTCCATTATCAACATGCACATTATGCATTCCATCACCAGACAACACTCAGTGAATTATAGAATCAAAAGTTATACAGATAATAACGAGATATCCAACCATAAAGGGACTCATACACTGAAAGAGGTTGGTCAGTTCAACCCAGTGCATAACAACGAGAAGTCACAAGTATTAACTAATATTTCGCTATACTACATGGTGTTGACAGCTTTATTAAAGTTGTAGTAAACTGGAACCTGCAATCTCCAGGATAACTTGATATTTTATCAGTTATCTTGGTACTCTCGTCTTGTCGTCTATCTATGGATGATACATTCATCGTGAGAGAAAAGAACATGGATTAGTAGAAAGATACTTGACAAAATATCGTTTCTTGATATTCTTCTTGCAAGACAAAAAGATGGATCGATAAAGAGGAAGTTGTTTGGGAAAAGTATGTGGACGGGACCATAAGCAAATAATCTTAGCTTCTTCCCATCCCTTCAGTGAAAGCTCCATGTTACGTAATCAAGGCTAAATATGTTCGAAAGATACGATTGAGAAGGAATTGACGACATTACGCAACAGTCTACTTCAAAACGGCTATCCTGACAAATTACATCCTCCATACACTCAATAATGACACCGAGACTGAAAGATGAATTGGCTAGACCAACCACTTCGTGGTATGTCTATCACTTCGACTGCTTCTGTGGAGCCATTTACCTCGGTCACTGCTCATGAAGTCAAATTCTGCATGCTTGTAAACACCTCTCAACGTGGTTAAGTAAAAATGCGGTGAAGACCATCACCAGCTTCATATTAGCACACTTGCAGGAAACGAACCATTAGGTGAATATGAATTAGTCATTTTCCATTATGCACCAAGTTCCCTCCCATCAACCCACCTGGAGGTATCCGACTTCAAATTCTTCTGACTGTAGAAGCAGTAACAACTGAAATCAAGCAACTGAAGTTGTGTGTTCACTATCGTGGGTCGATTTGGCGTGCACAAAATTCCTTAGCATCTTAGTATCCCAGGTAATCTAGTTTTCTAATCCCTATAACCTGAAATAATTAATGACATATTCTGTTAACATGCTTTATCCCCCCCCTCTCAAACTATCCTTCTGAGCATATTACATCCTACTGTGATTAACACCCTCCCATTGTTTTATTAAACTTCTATTGATGTTCAAACAAGACTTTTCTTAATTGACCGTCTCAACTGTATAATAATTGTTATTGATAAAATTTTGAGGAAGTTGTGGAGATTTGGAATTATTTCAAGTTGTTATTCATCGTAGACTGACATCAGTTGGAGGAACAAAGGAAACTTGGGAGCACTGGACAGCTGGTTCGTCCTAGTATGGGACTCCTCAGCAGTGCGCACCCACGACCCCACCACCAGGGATAGAACCCACGACCTTCAGGTTCCGCGGCCAGCGCGTCACCATTGAGCCACTGGGTCAGAATCCAATGCTCCATATTTCCAACTTCTGTTAGCACATGATATATAGCGCAACCGCCACCCAATGTCATCGCTGAGTATTTGTCCTCATGGCCATCAGGCTTTGACTCTACCGGGGTCGTGGGTGCGCACTGCTGAGGAGTCCCATACTAGGACGAATCATCTGTCCAGTGCTCCCAGGTTTCCTTTGTTCCTCCAACTGATGTCAGTCTACGATGAATAACAACTTGAAATAATTCCAAATCTCCACAACTTCCTCAAAATTTAATTGAACTGGTGCTCATTGGTGACTAGCTTCGAGAAGTATTCCCGAAGTTCCAATGAGAAGTCGTGACCGGTGGAGTCAAAGCCTGATGGCCATGAGGACAAATACTCAGCGATGACATTGGGTGGCGGTTGCGCTATATATCATGAGCTAACAGAAGTTGGAAATATGGAGCATTGGATTCTGACCCAGTGGCTCAATGGTAACGTGCTGGCCGCGGAACCTGAAGGTCGCGGGTTCGATCCCTGGTGGTGGGGTCGTGGGTGCGCACTGCTGAGGAGCCAGTTGGTAGGTTTGTGAACCTTCATATAATGAGGTGACGGGGTCGACATGTGTTGCGTATACTGACTCACCGATTACTCCCAGACTTGGTAGGTTAGTCGAAGTAGGATTGGTTTAGGATAAGAAAGTTCCAGAGTGGGAGGACCAGCACGTGTCAACGGACTATGAAATCTTTCACTTCTGTTCTGAATTGTGTAGGCTGTCTGGCTTAGGTCCTGAAGGGGGTAAGAATCAACCACATCTAGATAAAACAACCTCACTTATGTCTTGAAAGTACAGAGCTCGATTCGACACTTACAAACTCCCTCGCTAGATTATCAATTATTCCGAATGGATCCCAGCAGTAATTGATTCTGACAGTGAGGGGTTCACACAAGATTTTTCTGGAGAAATTTCGCCCTACTGTTAAATGAAATCAAAATCAAAAACTGCGAGTACTGGACAGCTACTTCGTCCCAGCGACACGGGGCTACTCAGTAGTGCACATCCATGATCCCACCATGCAAGGATTGAACCCACAACCTTCAGCCTTTATGATCAGCACATTACCACTGAGTCATTGGGTTCAAGTCCAATAATATTCCCAATATTATTGACGCAAAACTGTAGGACCAGCCGAAGAAGAAGTTATCGAAAAGAATATCCTTTGTTCATTCAAATAAGTTGAACTGATGATCAGTTCGTCAGTGGGACTCGAGCTTACGACACACAGTACTCTAAATATTAAGAGTCGAAGTGAATCGAAATTCAACTCAATGGTCCCTTGCATGTTCGTGCAGAATGTAATGAGCCGCACACCGACTGTGTGAAGGTTGATGATACTTCATCTAGCTGTCCAAACCTTGACAGTTGGGACGGGCTTCGAACTCCTGACGCACTACTGGTTGAAAGTCAACTGCCCAAGGCAGCGGATCACAACTTCAATCAATATTACGTAGCCGGTCGGGCTTATCATTAGAGATGGGGCAGTGTTTTGTTTCCCAACATACATATATAGATATATCTACCTGAAGAAGCCCAAATAGGACGAAACATATACTCATTAGACAGTTCTGCAGAAAAAAAACTCATGGTTTCACTTCCTCCTAGAGTTTGTGTTGCTGACGCTTGCAGACACTCGTTACTGATGAGTGCAAACAAGTACGAAACCTTCAGTGTAGTAGAACTTCCAATCGGTTAACTCCTACTACCTAACACTAAAAATTAATCAGTAAATCAATGATTAACTAAGTCACTAACTATTCAGTTCACGAAAATAATTGATTACTTACCTTGCAGTACTGGTTGGATACATTTTTCTTGTTTCTCTGAATGTTTCGGTTTTCTTCTCGGTCGATATTTATAATCTGGATAAGCACGCATATGGTTGACGCGTAAACGTTTAGCTTCATCAATGAATGGACGTTTTGGTGGTCAGTTAACAATTTCCATTCTATGCCTAACCGTTTACTAATTTCAGAATTGTGCATTTTTGGATTAGCCTGTGACATTTTCCGACGTTGACCACGTGACCATACCATGAATGCATTCATGGACGCTTGACATGTGAATGAGTGATATTAGGCTGTGGAGGTGGAAGAGAAGAAGGAGGCGATATCGAAGTTTGATGATGATGCTGGTACTGGTGTGACTGATGAACGCATGATAGAGGCGATAACGTTGATGAGGACACAGCTGTAACTATATCTGTAGTATTGATAGATTGTTGGTTGGATTGTTCACTGGATTCAATGTTCAATAGCGGATAATGAGAATAATTAAAGTCAGTTTTTGAATAATTCGTTTGGAACATCATTGATAATGGTGGTTGTAGGCAATCATTCAATAGACTCTTTTGATGAGTATAATCTTCATTGGATAATTTATTGTTATAATTTGTTGTCAAATAACTGATTAATTGATCCCATAGCAACGGATTGGTACAGTAGCTGTTGCCGCCGCTGTTACTACTACTACTACCACAACTTTGATTGTTCAGTGTTTCAATATTATCGTGTATCCAATTCATAATTGATTATGAAACATGAAAAACGCTGCTTATATATTTATTACTGTCATCCTAATCACTCCTTTAATAATCTCTTCATCGCGTTAAACTTAAGCAAATGGAAGAACTTTCTAGAGAAAAAAAATCAACTTTCTCTACACAGTTTCCATTCGTTTTGATATTGAAGTAGACACACTAACCAGCTCCCCTTCTCATCGCCAAATCACTTTCTTTTCTTATTGGTTAGTTGACACCGAGTTGTGTGTGCGTAGTGTGTGTGCATCCTCCTCCCCCTCCTCTCAGCCAATCATCTTCTTCATCCCCCTCACAATGTGTATTGACCAATAATTTATTTTCTAAATTCGCTTCCTTCTCTTCTCTCTCTTATTTCCTTACCCCATTTGTTTTGTTGCTATTCTTATCCACATTATTACTGTTATATATTGAATGGATTTACTATGAATAATAGTGTTACCACTCTAGTAGTGTATGAGCAGCGAATTAGCCAATCAGATTCCAGACAATCTGGTCTTGTGAGACTTTTTTTATTCAGTCACTTTCTTCTCAGTTTATTTGGTGGTACCTAGTAGTTAAATCCACGACACGCGTTTCTTATTGTGATGTACCTGTATCTCAGTGAGAAATGTTATTATTCCCACTGGGACTCGAGACAAGCAACCACCGCTTCAAACGCCAGAGTTACTATGGCAGGACAGCCACCTCTTGTACAACGGGTATCAATTATATATTGTTTATTGATACTTGCAGTTTTTCTCTGTTTTGTCCAAGTCGAGTACTCCTCAGCAGATAACTTTCAAATATTTTCAAAGCCAGCAATTCATTTTGAATGTTAGTGGTGAGACGTGAAAAGTTGAATGGTTGAGAGCAATTAATACCTGTCTAGTTCTAGTAAGGAATTGCTTAACCAGGTGCACCTACTACCCAGTGATGAACTACTGACCAGTTAGTGCTAATAAGTTGCTTGCTTCAATTTCTGTTCGTCCTAATTCTAGGAAAAGCTAACCTGTAGGTTTAACACAGTTGGATGTGAGATCAGATGCTCCCGATGGTGATGGGATGACGGTCGCACTATATCCCAAATTGACAGAAGTCGAAGAAGGCGGACTATTAGACCCCAATCAAGTTGCTCCGTGATTACATATCAGGCATGAGATTTGATGGTTTTGGGTTCGACCCGACGGTGTCGTAGGCGTGCGCTACTCAAGAATCCATTCCGAGGGTGTTATCCAGAGTAGGTTTATTTCTAACACTGGAAGTCCAAGCATACAGCGTGATGACTGCTTCGGCTTTTTTCTAAAAGTTTACACTGACTACTGATATCTTTATTAGTAGACGTCAAAAAGTATACGGTATGTCAAAAATGTTTAAAAACGCAACCACCAACTCCATTGAGTGTAGCACAAAATACTCTAAGAAATAATGTGAAAATACGCGGAGAAGGCGATAACTGATCAACAGGCATGATGACAGGGAGATAACCCTGTATGGCGGTATCTTTCTGAAACCTACGACTCTTGTACTTATGACGACAAAATAATAGCAAAAAGGATTTTAACGAAAAAAAAGTCCGCCAGGTCTACTAGCTCAGCTTACTCTGCACCACCATACTGTCTCTATAGCCCTGATATGATAATACTCAGCAGGTAACACTATGATCATTACGCCCCTATGACTATATGGACCGTGGTTACAATTGTGGCAAAAACCATGGATTTCATTTAAATGTTTATAACTTCGTTTAACTTTTGTACATAGGTTTTCTACACATAAGCGAAAACCTGGTCCAAAATCCTGCATTCTCTCTATTCCATAGTGATATCTTCGGCTTCAGTTTAGTTTCCACTACTTTCGTTTGCCCCTTCATCTTCTTCCCCATAAGCTTACCTCTAAACAGTTGGTTTTGGATGCTTCTTTTAGTAACTTTTGTAGTCAGTACAATGAACTCACCTACATGTATCATGGTCGATATAATTCTGCATAGTATTTTTGTGCTTCAGTTTGGGATTTCGCCTGCCGCTCGCTTTGTTATTCATTCTTCAGGTTTAACTAACCAGTCCTTTATCAGTATGGAATCCTAGTAATCGCACTTGTCAGCATGTGCTATGCCATCAAAACTTTACGATGAACGTACACGACCCAAGGTCATGGCTGACCTAACCGCCCTACCTCTCCAGATGCATCTTTTATGTATCGGGAAAAATGGTGTCTGTTGTATAGCTTGACATTGTACATAACAGTCAGTTCACACTACCAGAATGATCAAACCTGTAAACTGGCTTGTTTCCATGTAAATTATGCTGTATGAAAGATACTGTTATTATTAATGCTGCCCTCTGCGTTATTTAGCAAGCTAACCACAATTTTTCTCAACCAACTTACATTTTAATAAAGGTGTACTGTTCATGAGTTATTTCTGCATGTTGCCTGATCAGGTTTGCATGAAAAAAACAGCGGCAGCCTGTTCGCTCATGACATTCGGGTATCTTCCTTTTCAAACCAGTGATTTTGGTTTGTAATACATGTAACAAATGGAGAGCATAATCAGTCATTATCGTTTGCATGGTATTCTAGGCCTTAGCCCTTGGCCTTCTTTGTTCCTTCCCATAGAACTTCTGTCGTGAATTTCATGTTATCTGGGCTGACTTTCAACTGAATTACTAAGAAAAGATTTTCGTCGGCTTCTCTTTCAATTTAAAGCACCTATTTACAGCAAATACCTATTCAGTCATTTTCTCAGGCGCTTTCTGTCCTTCATTACCATAGTGCTTTTTGCGCTTCGCTTTCACCTTGACTGGTCTTGTCTCAAGCTGGACTGAAATCTCTGCAACATGACAAACCTCGGCGGCTGCACAACCGATTGCGGTGGGCTGAGGCAACATGTTTTAGCCAAGTCTGACATGCAGAGGGATGAAATCAAGAGTTGGTAGGAAGACAACCGTGTGATTCTTACATCTGCATGCTATGAAGAGGGAAGTATCTGACTGTGACTTTCGTGATTTTCTGGCATCCATAGTTAATCTAAAGAGGCTAAGCCGCTTCTGAACGCCATCACGAAAAAAACTGGAATTCGAAGCATAGCTGATGCCCACAAAGATGACACCGTGTCCGCCGGCGCGTAGGTTACTACATAGCATTCTTAAAAAGCCCCAAAGCAAACGGCCAGTGGATCATTAGACCTTTAGGATTTGTCCTGGTGCGAACTTGACAGACGCAAAGACCAATCACTAATTATTCGAACTTGTTATATACCCACGAATACGAGACCAAGGAAGAACACGATAGCGTAGTCGGATGGAATAGTATATTTGGATGGTTATGCCAAAATACCGATGCGTTCCAACTAACTGGCTAGAGAGTCGAATACGAGCAATGCAACGTAACACGACAGCGTGCCAAATGGCGAGGATGCTTGACCGGATGCCTTCAGCTTAGCGAGTCCAGTTAAACTATCAAGGTCAGCATCAATGTCGAAGTCGTCAAACCCTAGGCTATTGATTTTGGGGAAGTGTATGACGCTACAGATCACTCCCCCCCTAGTGGGTTCGTGAGGACCCTAAGACGATACCAGCCGGAAGTAAAAACCCAGTGGTTTCTCCACTGGTAAAACTCTCCCGATGGGCTCACTGCGTGAGGTGGCCCCTGGTTGTCTGAACCTTATTCTAGGGTGTCGTGGCGATTAAATAAATAAAATACAATAAATGAAATTGTACGTCGGTCGCGGTCATCTGTTCCTTTCGACGTTCCGTCCAGTGCTCGTTGCACCTGGAATATAAATAAAAGTCTTTAATACCACGAAAACGTTGCGTAAAAATGGGAATTATTTATATATAAACGTGTCGAAAAAGAAAAATTTACGCTTATCTTCGCCGGTTGTTTTTAGTTTTTATTACATGGTAAATAAAAATTGATATAAAAAGGCAAAGTGTACGAGGGTTTGTGCCGGTAAATAAGAAAAATAGTGCCTCGAAAAAAATGGTTGGCACACACATAGCTAAGTTGAATATGACTTCAGGTACTCTGGGAACCTGACGGTTCGACCTGATCGTGTTTTTTGTTGCGCCGATGGTTGTTGCAGCTGTGCATTACCAGGCACATCGTCGAGAATTTCGATAATTGAGTCATCCGTCGGCCGGATGTAGCGAGCTGAAACGTCACTTACAATGGGGTTGCCTTCGAAATAAGCTGGTTTCAAACGGTCGATACTGACAGTATCTTCGCGTCCGCCTCGCTCAATTACATAGAATTTCTCATGTCGCTTAATCACTTTGAACGGCCCGTCGTAGGGTGGTTCAAGTGGTCGACGAACAGCGTCGTGGCGAACAAACACGTGTGATGTCTTCTGTAAACTGGGGTGGACGAAAACATCAGTCGTTTGCGGTCTAATCGGAGAAGGCCTAACTGAACGCATTGCGTTTGTAAGCCTAGTCACGTAAGATGCCCTGTCGTTGCTATCCTTTTTGGGCACCATGTGCAATGGCGATGCCCAAGGACTGTTTGACGGTCTGATAATGCCCAGTTCCAGCATATGGTCGAATTCATTTTTCGCCGTTTGCAGCTTATCGGGGGCTAAACGGCGAGCTTTGGATGCCACAGGTGGACCTGTGGTTGTGACGTGATGCATAACATTGCTGGTTATGCACGGAAGAGTGTGTTTCGGTTGTTGTAACTCTGGATATTTCTCCAGAACTGCCTGGTAGGACGCGTCCCTGATTGTTTAGTCCTAACGATGGCTAAACTCGGACCTACATAGGTGGTGCCGCCAATAGATAACTTTGTGCTGTTATCTATCAGTCGTCGACGGCGAGCATCTACGAGTAGATCGTAATGGTTCAGCAAATCTATGCCAATGATGGGCATAGAGACGTCTGCCAGGAGGAAAATCCAGTGAATAGGTTTGCGTAAACCTAAGTTGAGGTAGGCATACCGTCTCCCGAATGTCGCGATTGCCTTGCCGTTGGCTGCTTGAAGATTGAAGGATGGGTCGAGATGACGCTCCTTTGTCGTTGCTGGAAGAACGCTAACTTCTGCGCCGGTGTCGA